ATTTGAACGGCACGCGATAGAGCTCGTCGGAAATATTTGCCTTTGGCTTTTTGCCTGTCTCCGAGTAAACACTCTTGCGTCGATCGGTCGTCGCGGGTGCCATCACTTCCTCTGGATCGTCGTCATCCGCGCAGATGAGTCTTGGTGGTGGCCCACGATTCTTCTTCTTGTTTTTCGAAAGGTCGTCGTGATCCTTAGTTTTGATTGACGACCTTGGGCGTTTTCGTGAAAGTGGATTCGAGGAACCGGAGAGAGACACCGGAGACCAAAACCGAGGCACTTGAAAAACTTGAGGAAATACTTCATTGAAGTCTCAAGAATGGTTTTGATAAGAGCCAAAAATGATTTATACCTACAACCTAACCTACAAATTTCTTAAGACTAAGAAAAGATTTTCTGGGATCATTCAAAGATATTTAAATATTAAAGAGAGACTTTTATCACACACATAGGAGATAGTAATAAAGGAATCTATGGCATAAAAATAGCGAACAAAATGAACTTTTGCTGATTTTAATATATTTTCACAAACAAGTTTATGAAATTGTATTAAAATATGTGTTCATTGGCTGTTTTTAATTGTTCTTACCTTGGTAGTGGTCCTTATATATGTAGATCCTATGTGTTTGTTTGCTGCTGTAAGGCTTTTTCGATTTCAGTATCCATCTAGTCCCCTTATTTGAAAACAGAAATACTTTATTCTACTTTACCATATCGTTTGATGTAATTCAATTTTCAAATTCAGAGGTAATCGAACACTCACAAAGAAATAAACATCCCGTCAAATCAACTCAAAGATCAACAAATATAAAAACGATGTTCAAGAATCGTTTCACGGGTCTTATGACGCGGAAGGGCACGGCCACGGCCCATGCGAGAAACTACATCTTTCAGAAGAGTTTCAATGCACGCCAAGTGCTGATGGCCAAGGCTAAGGCGAATGGGGCACCACAGACAGAGACCTTGGAGCACCAGACCCCGAATCAAACGCAGCCGGAGAGTGCTTGTCCGGAAGTGAAGACAACAGGAACAACTGCTGTGCCCTTGGCCGAGAATACACGCAAGACAGGTGAGACTTTCGTGTACGTTTTTTCTGCTCAGAATGGCAATGGTATATCCGGCTTCTCTTGCAGTTTCCCTCAAGACATTTACAACCGCCCCATCGGCCAGCTTTTCCGATCAGCGCGAAAGGTGGATGGCCAGGACCAAGGAGATTCAGCGCAAGGCCATGCTGGCAGCCAAAGAAGGTCCTACCAAGGCAGCAAGCAACAAATGGTCGACTCCCGGGCTATACGACTGGCAGCAGCAGCTGTCGCCGCAAAAGAAGCCAAATGTCGATAATGAGATCATCTCCCCAGCGGAAGGCCAACGGAAGTCTTGGACGAATCGCGTGCACGGCTCACAAATGCAGAAGCAGAAACAGACACGGTTCCTTGAGGAACCGAGTGGCAGGCAGCACGCCAGAAGAGATATGGAACAGAAGGGACATAGGATACAGCAGATAACCAGAATGGAGTCCAGAGCTTCGGCAGCAGCAGCCCCTGCAGAGCTCGAGGAACCGAAGAAGAAGTCGCCCGAGCGTTTGGCTTACCTGGAGGCCATCCAAAAGCTGAACAGTTACCACGCTTTCGACTCGGTGCCCGTGCGGATGGGCCGGCAGGGCTCCGATTGCCAGCCGGATCCGATGATAGAACATACCCTGGAGTGCTTGGAGAGGACGAAGCTGTCAAAAGCGCAGTTGGAAAGCATTCCCGTCATACAGATATCCGGATCGAAGGGCAGAGGAACCACATGTGGCCTCGTTCAGAACATCCTGCTCTCGCATGGTATCAAGACAGGGCTACTCTGCTCGCCCCATCTCTTCTTTTCCTGCGAGCGAATACGCATCGATGGGCAGCCCTTGAGTGAGGTTCAGTTCACGAAGCTCTTCTGGAAGATTCATGCCAGGCTGGCAAAAATGCAACCACCGCCAGCCTACGACCAACTCCTGACGGTGATGGCCTTCCATGCGTTCCGCCGGGCGAATGTGGATGTGGCCATTGTGAAGGTGGGCAGTGGAGGCGCCAGCGATTGCACCAACGTCACCTCGCATGCGGGAACCATCGCGATCAACACTCTGAGCCGGGATAAAAGGTCGGATCTGAGGCATACCATGCGGGACATTGCCTGGGCCAAGGCGGCAATCATGAAGCCCTCTGCCAGCATATACACGAATGTCAGCCAAGCAGAGTGCTGTGAGGCCCTAGCCCAGAGGGCCAGGGAGCTTGGCGTCCAGCTCCATCGAGTGCCCACATTCGAAGCCCTGATCGAGGCAAACCTCAACCAAAAGCACCTGCTCTCCAAGGCAAACCATTCCGTGAAGTTGAATGGCTCATTGGCCATCCAGCTGGCGTGCGACTATCTCAGGCGCCACAAGCCGGAGCTTGTGGTGGGATTGGACACAAATACAGTTAAATTGTCTCAACGTGCGGCCCGCGGGATTGGCAGCTTCCAGCCGGCGGGACATTTCGATGTGATCAGACAGGACAGCCTTAATGTCTATTTGGACACGGCTGATTCTGTCGAATCGATGATGGCATGTAGGGAGTGGTTCTATGCCGGTACTCGGGCCAGTCGCTCGCCAAAGATTCTGCTGTACAGTAGGGGGAAGGATGCCAATGCCAAGGATCTTCTAGCGATCCTTCGCTTCAAAGTGCGCTTCGATGAAGCCTGCTTTGTGCCATGCCCCAGTTTCTTCGAGGGCGAAATCGTAGCCGAGGAGTTATCCGCGGCCATGGTCTGGGACGACAAGCAGGAGCTGCAGCGGGCAAAGAACAACGCCAGAGCCTGGTGTCGTCTCTGCGAGGAGATGGGAAAGAAGGACACCTCCCATCTTACCCTCTCGGTCAACTCATGCTTTGACCACGTCCGCACCAAGTATGGCCAGCAGAGTGAAGTCGATGTCTTGGTAACTGGCTCCCGACAGTTGGTGGCTGCAGCCATGACGACGCTCAACAAAATGAGGGGCTCTAAGGCTCCAAGCCACCACAGTTGATCCATTTAAATTTTGTAGTTTTTCTTCCAAATTTCGAAAGCCAAACGAATATGGAATGGAATCACCACCAAAAACTCCAGCTAGAGCAAGTACGATTTTAAATAAATCCCAAACAGAATAGTTTTTATCATAGACCAATGAAATTTACGCGATGCCAATCTGTGAGGGAGTCATGGCCTTTATCTCGTGGAGCTGTTGGTCTCACTAGAAAGCCCCATTGCGCCATTGCCCCATTGTCGGTCCCGAAACCCAGTTGAACACAGTTGTAGTTCGGAGAAACTCACACAGATTTTAATGGTAATATATTCGTGCTCAAAGGTCAGCCAGCAAGTCGCAGTGCAGATATGCAGTCCAGATATGGCTGTGCTGCGGCTGTCCTTGAAATCAATTAACAGACTGAAGGGCTTAACACTACAAAATCAAAGTCTATACGATTGAATATAGTCTATTGTTTTGTTCGATTCCAGTCAAACGTCTCTTCCACGGCTGGCATATGTTTCCTTTGGAATGCCAAGCCCCTTTTGATTATCTTTCAGTTTAGTGAACGTCTATTTGGCCATCAATCGTAAAAATAAAAAAAAATATATATCTTTCCATTGTGGTAGGTAGGAGTACACTATGGTACTACACATCGAATTAAATTGAAACAGTAATAGTTATATCTAAACTAAACGAGTGCGACTACACTTTCTTCTCTTGTGTATATACGTGGATGTGTATACGGGTTTCGTGGTGTGGTCATCAGTTAATTCTTTCACTTCAGTGCCGCGTTCAGTGCGACGTTTGAAACGCGCCTTAAACTAAGTTAATCCAAAATGTAATGCAAAAATCAAAATAAACAAAATCATTTCCATTTGTAGCCACTTGGCAGCTACGATACTTGAAGTACGATAACGTAAAATAAAGCGTCCTAATACTTTCTTCTTAGCTTAATTGTTTAACTCTTTAATTTGTGTTAATCCGTGTGTTTGTGATGGCTCTCAAAGACTCAGTCTTGACATTCTCTGATGAAGGTGTATTCCGTTGGTTTGGTGGGTTTGGGAGGGGTTGTCCTGGGTAAGAAACGACAGGATATTATTTTGTTTGGCTCAAAAGTTCAGGATCAATGTTGGTTTCGGGACCGCAGCATCGGGAGGAAGACGCTCAAGCTGGATTGAAGGTGTGTCCATCATGGCCGTGGTGACTACAGACAGAGACGAATACGGCATCATCTCTGCCATTATAGCTTTCAAACGTTCGAAGGGCAAAACGGCCACACACATGGAATGCCCCTGCTGATGACATTCATCCGAGCAGATGTTCAAGGGATCGTTGAGCGGTATACCGGGCACAGGACGGACTACGGGGACCATGGGCACATCGGGATTGCCGACCAAGGCGCTCGTTGCGGTGAGCAGCTGGGTGACGAGCACCAATTTAAAGAGCTTTAGCTGATTTCCATTTTTGCTGATATCCATTACGGCGCGCATCATGAGGGCCGAGTTGGTCTGGCATTTGGGGATCAGCAGCAGCTCTTCCACCGTGGGACACTGGGCCAGCAGATCGCTAAAGTTCCCGTCCAAATCCACGTTGACCAGCTCGAGGCGACGGACGCCCCCGGCTTGGGCGAGTCCCCTCATGATCTCGTCGACTGGGAACAAAGTCTTCTTCCTTTGGTCCGTTTCTATGCGGAACATCTGCAATTTCGTGAGTGTCGGGAGCATCTCGTTGCCCAGCTGGAGCCGGTGCATGCTCTGGCAGTAGCCCAGAATCAGAGTCTCCAGATTGGGTAGATCCTTTAGAAACAGCAAGCTACCAAAATTCTTAACGCCGCGCAGGCTCAGGACGTGCAGGTGCGTCAGTTTGCCTACGAGGGGCAGACCGGTGATCGATGCCTTCGTATCGGTCATGCGAACGCGCAGCTCATACAGGTTTTCGATCTTGTCGATGTCGGTCATGTTGAGGCACGAGCTGACGCAAGTGCACATCAGCTTCTCAAGTTGAGGCAAGCTACGGAAGATCTGGTGCAGGAAGTCAGCTTTCGTATGATCGTATGATCGGTGCGCACCGAGCGCATATCCGTCAGCACGCGCATGTCCCCAGCGACGAGGGTACCGCTAGTGGGTATGATCGCGCCCATCATGTCGAGTTCGCGTGTGCCGTTGCGTGCCATCTCACGCACCAAAGCTGGCCAATTGTTGACCTTTGTGCCGCGAAGCGAAACTGATTTCCATACTTCAGCGTCACGGGAGCACAAGTGCCACAGCTTGGACACTTCCGAGCAATTGGCCCGATCCTGAAAGATACATTGATTCGATTCAGTTCGGTTCGGTTGGAGCCTGCCTTTCTTTAGATTCTTTCGGTAATTACCTGCTGGTTTAGTGTCTGCATTAGGCTGGTTAAGAACCGGCAATTGAAGCCGCTTCCAAACATCTGCTCCCACGGGTTATCGGGTGGCGACGATTGCTTGGGTGCAGCAATCCGTTTATCGTAGACTTCATAGTAACTAGTCAAGTCCGGCGGATTTGGGACAAGTCTGGTTTGGGGATAGGGCAAAAGCAAAAACAATGACAAAAATTGATTAGTGGACTGTTAAGGAAGAAAACGGGTATGCCAAGGCATCAACCACTAATCTAATCAGACCTCAAGGTCTCAAGGTTCCAAGTGCCTAAGTGCCCAAAGACTCACACTTTTTGTTGGCTTGTCATAGCCGGCTCTGCAACGGCGGAAATCGCCTTCTGACCGCTGATGACCACGACCTCTTGGTGCGTGTACAAATTAATTGGCGTTGAAGCTGGGGTTGTGTCTGTGCTGAGTAGCTCCGCCGGCGGCATCTCGCCAGGCGGCTCGAGCACTTTTATGTCGTCCAGCCCATTGCTAACAGTGCCCGCCTGGTAGCTCTTCTCGCTTTCCCCCTCGCCGTCCTGTAGCTCCCCATATGCAGCCGTCAACGAAGCAACGATTTGAATGCACCCCATAGACGGGGATGCGTGTATTCCCGTATTCACGACAGAGAACAAAACTCACTTGCATTTTAATTGTACAATTTGCCTATCTTTTATAACTATTTTACCGAACAATAAAAAAGTATCTTGCTCGAAAGATACACATCCATAAGTATTTACTTATTTCATGCCATCTCCCAGCATAAACTTATTTTTATTGAATTTAGAACTTATGTAGAAAGTTATTTACTTAAATCTAAAACATATCCATCAACCATTAACCTTTTTATTAAATTTTGTATAAAAGATATCATTATTTATTACTATTTATTAGGCAGGGAAACGTTGAGTATTCCCACTAACATTCTGCAGTCCTTCCGAGGTAGTACTTTTTTCCATACATGGGAGGCAGGTTCTCAGTTCTTCCGTTCGCCAGCAAGACGCCTTCCTTAGCCAGAACGACCGCTGCCCCCCCCCCCCCCAAAACCGAGGCACTTGAAAAACTTGAGGAAATACTTCATTGAAGTCTCAAGAATGGTTTTGATAAGAGCCAAAAATGATTTATACCTACAACCTAACCTACAAATTTCTTAAGACTAAGAAAAGATTTTCTGGGATCATTCAAAGATATTTAAATATTAAAGAGAGACTTTTATCACACACATAGGAGATAGTAATAAAGGAATCTATGGCATAAAAATAGCGAACAAAATGAACTTTTGCTGATTTTAATATATTTTCACAAACAAGTTTATGAAATTGTATTAAAATATGTGTTCATTGGCTGTTTTTAATTGTTCTTACCTTGGTAGTGGTCCTTATATATGTAGATCCTATGTGTTTGTTTGCTGCTGTAAGGCTTTTTCGATTTCAGTATCCATCTAGTCCCCTTATTTGAAAACAGAAATACTTTATTCTACTCTACCATATCGTTTGATGTAATTCAATTTTCAAATTCAGAGGTAATCGAACACTCACAAATAAATATACAGCCCGTCAAATCAACTCAAAGATCAACAAATATAAAAACGATGTTCAAGAATCGTTTCACGGGTCTTATGACGCGGAAGGGCACGGCCACGGCCACGGCCACGGCCCATGCGAGAAACTACATCTTTCAGAAGAGTTTCAATGCACGCCAAGTGCTGATGGCCAAGGCTAAGGCGAATGGGGCACCACAGACAGAGACCTTGGAGCACCAGACCCCGAATCAAACGCAGCCGGAGAGTGCTTGTCCGGAAGTGAAGACAACAGGAACAACTGCTGTGCCCTTGGCCGAGAATACACGCAAGACAGGTGAGACTTTCGTGTACGTTTTTTCTGCTCAGAATGGCAATGGTATATCCGGCTTCTCTTGCAGTTTCCCTCAAGACATTTACAACCGCCCCATCGGCCAGCTTTTCCGATCAGCGCGAAAGGTGGATGGCCAGGACCAAGGAGATTCAGCGCAAGGCCATGCTGGCAGCCAAAGAAGGTCCTACCAAGGCAGCAAGCAACAAATGGTCGACTCCCGGGCTATACGACTGGCAGCAGCAGCTGTCGCCGCAAAAGAAGCCAAATGTCGATAATGAGATCATCTCCCCAGCGGAAGGCCAACGGAAGTCTTGGACGAATCGCGTGCACGGCTCACAAATGCAGAAGCAGAAACAGACACGGTTCCTTGAGGAACCGAGTGGCAGGCAGCACGCCAGAAGAGATATGGAACAGAAGGGACATAGGATACAGCAGATAACCAGAATGGAGTCCAGAGCTTCGGCAGCAGCAGCCCCTGCAGAGCTCGAGGAACCGAAGAAGAAGTCGCCCGAGCGTTTGGCTTACCTGGAGGCCATCCAAAAGCTGAACAGTTACCACGCTTTCGACTCGGTGCCCGTGCGGATGGGCCGGCAGGGCTCCGATTGCCAGCCGGATCCGATGATAGAACATACCCTGGAGTGCTTGGAGAGGACGAAGCTGTCAAAAGCGCAGTTGGAAAGCATTCCCGTCATACAGATATCCGGATCGAAGGGCAGAGGAACCACATGTGGCCTCGTTCAGAACATCCTGCTCTCGCATGGTATCAAGACAGGGCTACTCTGCTCGCCCCATCTCTTCTTTTCCTGCGAGCGAATACGCATCGATGGGCAGCCCTTGAGTGAGGTTCAGTTCACGAAGCTCTTCTGGAAGATTCATGCCAGGCTGGCAAAAATGCAACCACCGCCAGCCTACGACCAACTCCTGACGGTGATGGCCTTCCATGCGTTCCGCCGGGCGAATGTGGATGTGGCCATTGTGAAGGTGGGCAGTGGAGGCGCCAGCGATTGCACCAACGTCACCTCGCATGCGGGAACCATCGCGATCAACACTCTGAGCCGGGATAAAAGGTCGGATCTGAGGCATACCATGCGGGACATTGCCTGGGCCAAGGCGGCAATCATGAAGCCCTCTGCCAGCATATACACGAATGTCAGCCAAGCAGAGTGCTGTGAGGCCCTAGCCCAGAGGGCCAGGGAGCTTGGCGTCCAGCTCCATCGAGTGCCCACATTCGAAGCCCTGATCGAGGCAAACCTCAACCAAAAGCACCTGCTCTCCAAGGCAAACCATTCCGTGAAGTTGAATGGCTCATTGGCCATCCAGCTGGCGTGCGACTATCTCAGGCGCCACAAGCCGGAGCTTGTGGTGGGATTGGACACAAATACAGTTAAATTGTCTCAACGTGCGGCCCGCGGGATTGGCAGCTTCCAGCCGGCGGGACATTTCGATGTGATCAGACAGGACAGCCTTAATGTCTATTTGGACACGGCTGATTCTGTCGAATCGATGATGGCATGTAGGGAGTGGTTCTATGCCGGTACTCGGGCCAGTCGCTCGCCAAAGATTCTGCTGTACAGTAGGGGGAACGAGTTCAATGCCAAGGATCTTCTAGCGATCCTTCGCTTCAAAGTGCGCTTCGATGAAGCCTGCTTTGTGCCATGCCCCAGTTTCTTCGAGGGCGAAATCGTAGCCGAGGAGTTATCCGCGGCCATGGTCTGGGACGACAAGCAGGAGCTGCAGCGGGCAAAGAACAACGCCAGAGCCTGGTGTCGTCTCTGCGAGGAGATGGGAAAGAAGGACACCTCCCATCTTACCCTCTCGGTCAACTCATGCTTTGACCACGTCCGCACCAAGTATGGCCAGCAGAGTGAAGTCGATGTCTTGGTAACTGGCTCCCGACAGTTGGTGGCTGCAGCCATGACGACGCTCAACAAAATGAGGGGCTCTAAGGCTCCAAGCCACCACAGTTGATCCATTTAAATTTTGTAGTTTTTCTTCCAAATTTCGAAAGCCAAACGAATATGGAATGGAATCACCACCAAAAACTCCAGCTAGAGCAAGTACGATTTTAAATAAATCCCAAACAGAATAGTTTTTATCATAGACCAATGAAATTTACGCGATGCCAATCTGTGAGGGAGTCATGGCCTTTATCTCGTGGAGCTGTTGGTCTCACTAGAAAGCCCCATTGCGCCATTGCCCCATTGTCGGTCCCGAAACCCAGTTGAACACAGTTGTAGTTCGGAGAAACTCACACAGATTTTAATGGTAATATATTCGTGCTCAAAGGTCAGCCAGCAAGTCGCAGTGCAGATATGCAGTCCAGATATGGCTGTGCTGCGGCTGTCCTTGAAATCAATTAACAGACTGAAGGGCTTAACACTACAAAATCAAAGTCTATACGATTGAATATAGTCTATTGTTTTGTTCGATTCCAGTCAAACGTCTCTTCCACGGCTGGCATATGTTTCCTTTGGAATGCCAAGCCCCTTTTGATTATCTTTCAGTTTAGTGAACGTCTATTTGGCCATCAATCGTAAAAATAAAAAAAAATATATATCTTTCCATTGTGGTAGGTAGGAGTACACTATGGTACTACACATCGAATTAAATTGAAACAGTAATAGTTATATCTAAACTAAACGAGTGCGACTACACTTTCTTCTCTTGTGTATACGTGGATGTGGATGTGTATACGGGTTTCGTGGTGTGGTCATCAGTTAATTCTTTCACTTCAGTGCCGCGTTCAGTGCGACGTTTGAAACGCGCCTTAAACTAAGTTAATCCAAAATGTAATGCAAAAATCAAAATAAACAAAATCATTTCCATTTGTAGCCACTTGGCAGCTACGATACTTGAAGTACGATAACGTAAAATAAAGCGTCCTAATACTTTCTTCTTAGCTTAATTGTTTAACTCTTTAATTTGTGTTAATCCGTGTGTTTGTGATGGCTCTCAAAGACTCAGTCTTGACATTCTCTGATGAAGGTGTATTCCGTTGGTTTGGTGGGTTTGGGAGGGGTTGTCCTGGGTAAGAAACGACAGGATATTATTTTGTTTGGCTCAAAAGTTCAGGATCAATGTTGGTTTCGGGACCGCAGCATCGGGAGGAAGACGCTCAAGCTGGATTGAAGGTGTGTCCATCATGGCCGTGGTGACTACAGACAGAGACGAATACGGCATCATCTCTGCCATTATAGCTTTCAAACGTTCGAAGGGCAAAACGGCCACACACATGGAATGCCCCTGCTGATGACATTCATCCGAGCAGATGTTCAAGGGATCGTTGAGCGGTATACCGGGCACAGGACGGACTACGGGGACCATGGGCACATCGGGATTGCCGACCAAGGCGCTCGTTGCGGTGAGCAGCTGGGTGACGAGCACCAATTTAAAGAGCTTTAGCTGATTTCCATTTTTGCTGATATCCATTACGGCGCGCATCATGAGGGCCGAGTTGGTCTGGCATTTGGGGATCAGCAGCAGCTCTTCCACCGTGGGACACTGGGCCAGCAGATCGCTAAAGTTCCCGTCCAAATCCACGTTGACCAGCTCGAGGCGACGGACGCCCCCGGCTTGGGCGAGTCCCCTCATGATCTCGTCGACTGGGAACAAAGTCTTCTTCCTTTGGTCCGTTTCTATGCGGAACATCTGCAATTTCGTGAGTGTCGGGAGCATCTCGTTGCCCAGCTGGAGCCGGTGCATGCTCTGGCAGTAGCCCAGAATCAGAGTCTCCAGATTGGGTAGATCCTTTAGAAACAGCAAGCTACCAAAATTCTTAACGCCGCGCAGGCTCAGGACGTGCAGGTGCGTCAGTTTGCCTACGAGGGGCAGACCGGTGATCGATGCCTTCGTATCGGTCATGCGAACGCGCAGCTCATACAGGTTTTCGATCTTGTCGATGTCGGTCATGTTGAGGCACGAGCTGACGCAAGTGCACATCAGCTTCTCAAGTTGAGGCAAGCTACGGAAGATCTGGTGCAGGAAGTCAGCTTTCGTATGATCGTATGATCGGTGCGCACCGAGCGCATATCCGTCAGCACGCGCATGTCCCCAGCGACGAGGGTACCGCTAGTGGGTATGATCGCGCCCATCATGTCGAGTTCGCGTGTGCCGTTGCGTGCCATCTCACGCACCAAAGCTGGCCAATTGTTGACCTTTGTGCCGCGAAGCGAAACTGATTTCCATACTTCAGCGTCACGGGAGCACAAGTGCCACAGCTTGGACACTTCCGAGCAATTGGCCCGATCCTGAAAGATACATTGATTCGATTCAGTTCGGTTCGGTTGGAGCCTGCCTTTCTTTAGATTCTTTCGGTAATTACCTGCTGGTTTAGTGTCTGCATTAGGCTGGTTAAGAACCGGCAATTGAAGCCGCTTCCAAACATCTGCTCCCACGGGTTATCGGGTGGCGACGATTGCTTGGGTGCAGCAATCCGTTTATCGTAGACTTCATAGTAACTAGTCAAGTCCGGCGGATTTGGGACAAGTCTGGTTTGGGGATAGGGCAAAAGCAAAAACAATGACAAAAATTGATTAGTGGACTGTTAAGGAAGAAAACGGGTATGCCAAGGCATCAACCACTAATCTAATCAGACCTCAAGGTCTCAAGGTTCCAAGTGCCTAAGTGCCCAAAGACTCACACTTTTTGTTGGCTTGTCATAGCCGGCTCTGCAACGGCGGAAATCGCCTTCTGACCGCTGATGACCACGACCTCTTGGTGCGTGTACAAATTAATTGGCGTTGAAGCTGGGGTTGTGTCTGTGCTGAGTAGCTCCGCCGGCGGCATCTCGCCAGGCGGCTCGAGCACTTTTATGTCGTCCAGCCCATTGCTAACAGTGCCCGCCTGGTAGCTCTTCTCGCTTTCCCCCTCGCCGTCCTGTAGCTCCCCATATGCAGCCGTCAACGAAGCAACGATTTGAATGCACCCCATAGACGGGGATGCGTGTATTCCCGTATTCACGACAGAGAACAAAACTCACTTGCATTTTAATTGTACAATTTGCCTATCTTTTATAACTATTTTACCGAACAATAAAAAAGTATCTTGCTCGAAAGATACACATCCATAAGTATTTACTTATTTCATGCCATCTCCCAGCATAAACTTATTTTTATTGAATTTAGAACTTATGTAGAAAGTTATTTACTTAAATCTAAAACATATCCATCAACCATTAACCTTTTTATTAAATTTTGTATAAAAGATATCATTATTTATTACTATTTATTAGGCAGGGAAACGTTGAGTATTCCCACTAACATTCTGCAGTCCTTCCGAGGTAGTACTTTTTTCCATACATGGGAGGCAGGTTCTCAGTTCTTCCGTTCGCCAGCAAGACGCCTTCCTTAGCCAGAACGACCGCTGCCCCCCCAAAACCGAGGCACTTGAAAAACTTGAGGAAATACTTCATTGAAGTCTCAAGAATGGTTTTGATAAGAGCCAAAAATGATTTATACCTACAACCTAACCTACAAATTTCTTAAGACTAAGAAAAGATTTTCTGGGATCATTCAAAGATATTTAAATATTAAAGAGAGACTTTTATCACACACATAGGAGATAGTAATAAAGGAATCTATGGCATAAAAATAGCGAACAAAATGAACTTTTGCTGATTTTAATATATTTTCACAAACAAGTTTATGAAATTGTATTAAAATATGTGTTCATTGGCTGTTTTTAATTTTTCTTACCTTGGTAGTGGTCCTTATATAGATCCTATGTGTTTGTTTGCTGCTGTAAGGCTTTTTCGATTTCAGTATCCATCTAGTCCCCTTATTTGAAAACAGAAATACTTTATTCTACTCTACCATATCGTTTGATGTAATTCAATTTTCAAATTCAGAGGTAATCGAACACTCACAAATAAATATACAGCCCGTCAAATCAACTCAAAGATCAACAAATATAAAAACGATGTTCAAGAATCGTTTCACGGGTCTTATGACGCGGAAGGGCACGGCCACGGCCACGGCCACGGCCCATGCGAGAAACTACATCTTTCAGAAGAGTTTCAATGCACGCCAAGTGCTGATGGCCAAGGCTAAGGCGAATGGGGCACCACAGACAGAGACCTTGGAGCACCAGACCCCGAATCAAACGCAGCCGGAGAGTGCTTGTCCGGAAGTGAAGACAACAGGAACAACTGCTGTGCCCTTGGCCGAGAATACACGCAAGACAGGTGAGACTTTCGTGTACGTTTTTTCTGCTCAGAATGGCAATGGTATATCCGGCTTCTCTTGCAGTTTCCCTCAAGACATTTACAACCGCCCCATCGGCCAGCTTTTCCGATCAGCGCGAAAGGTGGATGGCCAGGACCAAGGAGATTCAGCGCAAGGCCATGCTGGCAGCCAAAGAAGGTCCTACCAAGGCAGCAAGCAACAAATGGTCGACTCCCGGGCTATACGACTGGCAGCAGCAGCTGTCGCCGCAAAAGAAGCCAAATGTCGATAATGAGATCATCTCCCCAGCGGAAGGCCAACGGAAGTCTTGGACGAATCGCGTGCACGGCTCACAAATGCAGAAGCAGAAACAGACACGGTTCCTTGAGGAACCGAGTGGCAGGCAGCACGCCAGAAGAGATATGGAACAGAAGGGACATAGGATACAGCAGATAACCAGAATGGAGTCCAGAGCTTCGGCAGCAGCAGCCCCTGCAGAGCTCGAGGAACCGAAGAAGAAGTCGCCCGAGCGTTTGGCTTACCTGGAGGCCATCCAAAAGCTGAACAGTTACCACGCTTTCGACTCGGTGCCCGTGCGGATGGGCCGGCAGGGCTCCGATTGCCAGCCGGATCCGATGATAGAACATACCCTGGAGTGCTTGGAGAGGACGAAGCTGTCAAAAGCGCAGTTGGAAAGCATTCCCGTCATACAGATATCCGGATCGAAGGGCAGAGGAACCACATGTGGCCTCGTTCAGAACATCCTGCTCTCGCATGGTATCAAGACAGGGCTACTCTGCTCGCCCCATCTCTTCTTTTCCTGCGAGCGAATACGCATCGATGGGCAGCCCTTGAGTGAGGTTCAGTTCACGAAGCTCTTCTGGAAGATTCATGCCAGGCTGGCAAAAATGCAACCACCGCCAGCCTACGACCAACTCCTGACGGTGATGGCCTTCCATGCGTTCCGCCGGGCGAATGTGGATGTGGCCATTGTGAAGGTGGGCAGTGGAGGCGCCAGCGATTGCACCAACGTCACCTCGCATGCGGGAACAATCGGCATCAACACTCTGAGCCGGGATAAAAGGTCGGATCTGAGGCATACCATGCGGGACATTGCCTGGGCCAAGGCGGCAATCATGAAGCCCTCTGCCAGCATATACACGAATGTCAGCCAAGCAGAGTGCTGTGAGGCCCTAGCCCAGAGGGCCAGGGAGCTTGGCGTCCAGCTCCATCGAGTGCCCACATTCGAAGCCCTGATCGAGGCAAACCTCAACCAAAAGCACCTGCTCTCCAAGGCAAACCATTCCGTGAAGTTGAATGGCTCATTGGCCATCCAGCTGGCGTGCGACTATCTCAGGCGCCACAAGCCGGAGTTTGTGGTGGGATTGGACACAAATACAGTTAAATTGTCTCAACGTGCGGCCCGCGGGATTGGCAGCTTCCAGCCGGCGGGACATTTCGATGTGATCAGACAGGACAGCCTTAATGTCTATTTGGACACGGCTGATTCTGTCGAATCGATGATGGCATGTAGGGAGTGGTTCTATGCCGGTACTCGGGCCAGTCGCTCGCCAAAGATTCTGCTGTACAGTAGGGGGAACGAGTTCAATGCCAAGGATCTTCTAGCGATCCTTCGCTTCAAAGTGCGCTTCGATGAAGCCTGCTTTGTGCCATGCCCCAGTTTCTTCGAGGGCGAAATCGTAGCCGAGGAGTTATCCGCGGCCATGGTCTGGGACGACAAGCAGGAGCTGCAGCGGGCAAAGAACAACGCCAGAGCCTGGTGTCGTCTCTGCGAGGAGATCGGAAAGAAGGACACCTCCCATCTTACCCTCTCGGTCAACTCATGCTTTGACCACGTCCGCACCAAGTATGGCCAGCAGAGTGAAGTCGATGTCTTGGTAACTGGCTCCCGACAGTTGGTGGCTGCAGCCATGACGACGCTCAACAAAATGAGGGGCTCTAAGGCTCCAAGCCACCACAGTTGATCCATTTAAATTTTGTAGTTTTTCTTCCAAATTTCGAAAGCCAAACGAATATGGAATGGAATCACCACCAAAAACTCCAGCTAGAGCAAGTACGATTTTAAATAAATCCCAAACAGAATAGTTTTTATCATAGACCAATGAAATTTACGCGATGCCAATCTGTGAGGGAGTCATGGCCTTTATCTCGTGGAGCTGTTGGTCTCACTAGAAAGCCCCATTGCGCCATTGCCCCATTGTCGGTCCCGAAACCCAGTTGAACACAGTTGTAGTTCGGAGAAACTCACACAGATTTTAATGGTAATATATTCGTGCTCAAAGGTCAGCCAGCAAGTCGCAGTGCAGATATGCAGTCCAGATATGGCTGTGCTGCGGCTGTCCTTGAAATCAATTAACAGACTGAAGGGCTTAACACTACAAAATCAAAGTCTATACGATTGAATATAGTCTATTGTTTTGTTCGATTCCAGTCAAACGTCTCTTCCACGGCTGGCATATGTTTCCTTTGGAATGCCAAGCCCCTTTTGATTATCTTTCAGTTTAGTGAACGTCTATTTGGCCATCAATCGTAAAAATAAAAAAAAATATATATCTTTCCATTGTGGTAGGTAGGAGTACACTATGGTACTACACATCGAATTAAATTGAAACAGTAATAGTTATATCTAAACTAAACGAGTGCGACTACACTTTCTTCTCTTGTGTATATACGTGGATGTGGATGTGTATACGGGTTTCGTGGTGTGGTCATCAGTTAATTCTTTCACTTCAGTGCCGCGTTCAGTGCGACGTTTGAAACGCGCCTTAAACTAAGTTAATCCAAAATGTAATGCAAAAATCAAAATAAACAAAATCATTTCCATTTGTAGCCACTTGGCAGCTACGATACTTGAAGTACGATAACGTAAAATAAAGCGTCCTAATACTTTCTTCTTAGCTTAATTGTTTAACTCTTTAATTTGTGTTAATCCGTGTGTTTGTGATGGCTCTCAAAGACTCAGTCTTGACATTCTCTGATGAAGGTGTATTCCGTTGGTTTGGTGGGTTTGGGAGGGGTTGTCCTGGGTAAGAAACGACAGGATATTATTTTGTTTGGCTCAAAAGTTCAGGATCAATGTTGGTTTCGGGACCGCAGCATCGGGAGGAAGACGCTCAAGCTGGATTGAAGGTGTGTCCATCATGGCCGTGGTGACTACAGACAGAGACGAATACGGCATCATCTCTGCCATTATAGCTTTCAAACGTTCGAAGGGCAAAACGGCCACACACATGGAATGCCCCTGCTGATGACATTCATCCGAGCAGATGTTCAAGGGATCGTTGAGCGGTATACCGGGCACAGGACGGACTACGGGGACCATGGGCACATCGGGATTGCCGACCAAGGCGCTCGTTGCGGTGAGCAGCTGGGTGACGAGCACCAATTTAAAGAGCTTTAGCTGATTTCCATTTTTGCTGATATCCATTACGGCGCGCATCATGAGGGCCGAGTTGGTCTGGCATTTGGGGATCAGCAGCAGCTCTTCCACCGTGGGACACTGGGCCAGCAGATCGCTAAAGTTCCCGTCCAAATCCACGTTGACCAGCTCGAGGCGACGGACGCCCCCGGCTTGGGCGAGTCCCCTCATGATCTCGTCGACTGGGAACAAAGTCTTCTTCCTTTGGTCCGTTTCTATGCGGAACATCTGCAATTTCGTGAGTGTCGGGAGCATCTCGTTGCCCAGCTGGAGCCGGTGCATGCTCTGGCAGTAGCCCAGAATCAGAGTCTCCAGATTGGGTAGATCCTTTAGAAACAGCAAGCTACCAAAATTCTTAACGCCGCGCAGGCTCAGGACGTGCAGGTGCGTCAGTTTGCCTACGAGGGGCAGACCGGTGATCGATGCCTTCGTATCGGTCATGCGAACGCGCAGCTCATACAGGTTTTCGATCTTGTCGATGTCGGTCATGTTGAGGCACGAGCTGACGCAAGTGCACATCAGCTTCTCAAGTTGAGGCAAGCTACGGAAGATCTGGTGCAGGAAGTCAGCTTTCGTATGATCGGTGCGCACCGAGCGCATATCCGTCAGCACGCGCATGTCCCCAGCGACGAGGGTACCGCTAGTGGGTATGATCGCGCCCATCATGTCGAGTTCGCGTGTGCCGTTGCGTGCCATCTCACGCACCAAAGCTGGCCAATTGTTGACCTTTGTGCCGCGAAGCGAAACTGATTTCCATACTTCAGCGTCACGGGAGCACAAGTGCCACAGCTTGGATACTTCCGAGCAATTGGCCCGATCCTGAAAGATACATTGATTCGATTCAGTTCGGTTCGGTTGGAGCCTGCCTTTCTTTAGATTTTTCGGTAATTACCTGCTGGTTTAGTGTCTGCATTAGGCTGGTTAAGAACCGGCAATTGAAGCCGCTTCCAAACATCTGCTCCCACGGGTTATCGGGTGGCGACGATTGCTTGGGTGCAGCAATCCGTTTATCGTAGACTTCATAGTAACTAGTCAAGTCCGGCGGATTTGGGACAAGTCTGGTTTGGGGATAGGGCAAAAGCAAAAACAATGACAAAAATTGATTAGTGGACTGTTAAGGAAGAAAACGGGTATGCCAAGGCATCAACCACTAATCTAATCAGACCTCAAGGTCTCAAGGTTCCAAGTGCCTAAGTGCCCAAAGACTCACACTTTTTGTTGGCTTGTCATAGCCGGCTCTGCAACGGCGGAAATCGCCTTCTGACCGCTGATGACCACGACCTCTTGGTGCGTGTACAAATTAATTGGCGTTGAAGCTGGGGTTGTGTCTGTGCTGAGTAGCTCCGCCGGCGGCATCTCGCCAGGCGGCTCGAGCACTTTTATGTCGTCCAGCCCATTGCTAACAGTGCCCGCCTGGTAGCTCTTCTCGCTTTCCCCCTCGCCGTCCTGTAGCTCCCCATATGCAGCCATCAGGGGAACAGCATCCACACTCTCCGCCGACTGCACGCAGCTCTGCAATTATACAATCGTGCGATATATGTGACAGCACACACAAAATGTGAAACACAAACACTGACCTGGCAGACGCTTCCCTCGATTAGCTTTAGGCAGAATCCACAGGTCTCGCGCGTTTCCTGGCGCACTGGGGCGGCGCTACAGAGTAAAGGATTAGGGTCACAATTAACTCAGGAATGCACAGGGTAAGGGACATGCTTACCATGAACTGGCGGTTACGGTCGACGATGCAGCAGCTCTGGCGTTCCCATTTATGGCGGCGGCAAGGAGGCGCGCATTACCCTTGACGGCCATGGTGGCGGTCCAACCCTCAGGGACAGAGGTGGCGCCCTTCGGCAACTTCGGCTTAGGTACGCGTTTGCCCATTACAGGGGCTTCCACCACTTTGGCTGCCAGAGGTTTTATAGCTTCGAGTGCTAGTGGTTTCACAGGCTTGAGTGCCAGAAGTGTCATAGATTCGTCTGCCATCGACAGAAAATCGTCAATCGATTTGAGACGTTTGCCAAACGCCGCTGTGCCAGCTTCTGCCTGGGGCTTTGAATGGGACTCGGCTCCGATCGTCTGACGACGTTTCTGTTTAGCCTTTGTTTTGTCGGACGCCGTCGATTTGCGGCGCTCCTTTAAGGCGGCAAGGTGATCTTCACGACTCAAGGCCTGGCGGACCGTCTCGTACTGGGCTTCGGCACCCAGGATATGCGTCCCGAAGATAAAATGTTCTTTGGTGAGTTCCCCCTGCAGCATTGGTATAATTTCACTAATTTTTCGGCACTTCTTGCCGGAGGGCGATGTGTAGAATATGTGATTCGAGCTGTTGGTTAAGGGGCTTGGAGTTACCACCTCCCGCGTCCAGCCATATTTGAACGGCACGCGATAGAGCTCGTCGGAAATATTTGCCTTTGGCTTTTTGCCTGTCTCCGAGTAAACACTCTTGCGTCGATCGGTCGTCGCGGGTGCCATCACTTCCTCTGGATCGTCGTCATCCGCGCAGATGAGTCTTGGTGGTGGCCCACGATTCTTCTTCTTGTTTTTCGAAAGGTCGTCGTGATCCTTAGTTTTGATTGACGACCTTGGGCGTTTTCGTGAAAGTGGATTCGAGGAACCGGAGAGAGACACCGGAGACGTGCCAGCAGAAATCACCGCCTCATCCTAGTGGGGACAAGACGAGTGGAAGAAAATGTCAAAGGTTAGTGTGTGGTCTTGTCTGGTCTGCGTGTCTACAACGATAGCAGTAGGCTTTAATTATTTTTTAGTAGTTATATTTCTTATCTCTTATTGCTTTGTTTTGTTTTATTTGAATTTGAATTGTTTTTCACCACCTTCTTGTCTAAATCTGTTGCTGTTTGCTGCTGCTGACTTGCAGTTGCTGTTGTTGTTGTTGGTGGTGGTGGTTCTGGTTCGCTTATGCTTGTGCTTGAAGCCACAGACGAGTTGTTTGAAGAGATGTTTGAGATGTTCTCCAAAGAGTGGTTGCTGTTGTTGTTGGCAGGTGCCGTTGGTGAAAATGTTGGGCTGGGAGGAGTCGTCGGAGTCGGAAGGGTTGTTAATGGTGTTACTGGTCTTACTGTTGATGCGGATGATACTGGAGTGGTTATATTAGGAGAGGAGGAAGTTGTTGTTGTTGTAGTTTTTGTTGCTGTTGTTGTTAGTTGGACGAAAGGATGGGTCTTCTCCGTGCGGGAGGATGGTGATGGTGATGTTGACATCGGAGTGTCCGCGTCCGGGCTAGCGGGATCAGCTGGAGCACCAGCAACGGCCTGTACTGCTGATTCTGCCGTTGATTCTGTCTGTTGTTCACGGGGGAATACCCTCAGACCACTCGTGCAAAGGGCCCTGATCTCAGCTGGCGACTGTTGTAGTGGATATTAGATAGAGGCAGAGAGAGAGAGAGAGAGAGAGAGAGAGAGAGAGAGAAAGAATATAGAGAGAACCAACCAAAAAGAACAACCTCTCTACGAATTCGAAAACGTATCTCTATTAGGTGCTACTTGCCCGCGTTTCCTCTTCGGAGTCATCTAACATTCCTTGCTGCATATAAGATAGGGAGGGATTTGTTCCGGAATATCCCTTCAATCCGGCATTTGTCGGTTTGCGGTCTTCTTTCGACTTTTTATTCTTCTTTTTGTGCTTCTTATCATTGTTGCCTGTGTTTTGGGAGGGGGCCAAAAAGGAGGCGA